TGCCTGTCTCTTGAGATAACATCAGGACTCCAAGAAGGTCTATGGTGCTACCGCCATCCCTTTGAGTATTTTAAATACATATATTCCACCAAAAATATGTTCCAAACCTGCAGTTGGAGATTTTATTGACCAGATATAAGATATCAAATTTGCTACCAGATCTAGGCTGTGTGTTATAGCAAACACATTCACTTCCTCACATACTGATTTTCGACTATGCTCAGCACTGTGCTGAGTAGATGTAGGAAAATTGGTGACAAACAATCCAATTCCTGGTTCAAGGAGTCTAGTAGATGGAGTTCAAGTACACAGGCAGCCACAGCACACCTGGCGAGTGCAGTGATGGTCCTAGGGTCCATGTAGGTTGCAGAGCTCAGAGGAAGGGCTACCCCTAGGAGACAGCTTCCCAGAAAATGTGATTCCTAAATTGATGATGAGTTTTCCAGGTGAATGGGGTGGGAACAAGGGTAAAGGTGGTTCTGCATAGAGAAAAGAGCTTAAGCATAAGCCTTTAGATGAGAGGGAGGATGATATATACTAGTTTATCCAGAAAACTGCAAACGGCACTCATAAAACACACAGCGCTCCTGACAGGGCAACTGTGGAGGCAACTCTTCCCAATTTTCTCTGGACAACATGCGGCTCAAAGGCCTTAGCTGGCTCTGAGGGTCTGGCTTACAGTTTCCTGGTGCCCCGGAGGGTAGGAATGACTGTGGAAGGAGATAACGAGGTAGAATAGCTGGTGGAGAGTGTCACCGAGTTCCTGCGAGGCCCAGGCTGGTCCATCTCCATCTTGGACATCATGAAGCAGAAAATTTGAAATTTTTTATGATGATGAAGAAGAAGGCAAATTGACCTGTGCTGAGATACATCAGGGATACAAGGAACAAGTTGGAAATCTGCTATAAAGTTACTTCAAAGAAGTTGAAACTAATGAAGATCAATTTCCAGAAGCGTGTACTTCTCTTGCAAAGACCTGCACATCACAGACCACTTTGCGAAGTGTGTTGGCCGCAGGAGGTTTTACTCTCTTTAAAGCAATGGTGGTCCAGAAGAACATAGAAGTGCAACTGAAAGTCATTCGAATGATTCAAGGGAGAAATGATGTATTCCCTGACTGCTTAGCAGATGGTTCTAATGTGGTCAGTGATCTCGAACAGGAAGTGAAGAAAATCCTGAGGAAAGTTCTTAGAAAATCAAAGAAGGAATATGCCCAAGGGGAAGAAAGGAAAAGAAAAAAAGCAGTTGTCAGAGGCTAAAACAGAAGAGCCCCCATGCATACCGATGAAAGTGCAGAAGAGATGGTAAACATGCACACCCACGCTCAGAAGTGAAAGTGCTTTTTGCTAATCTGTCAATGCATCCCTTGACTGGAAATGTTGCCTGAAACTTCCTCTCTCCCACAAAAAGGCCTGGAGAGGTGGATCTGAGACGCGGAGCAGACAGAAAGTAATTGAAGTTGTGGGAGGGGGTGGGATCACTGAGCAAGAATGGAGAATGAAAAGAGGAAAGGGTCCAGACAGACCCCTGGGAACACCCACATTGAAGAGATGAAGAAAGAGAAAGCATCAAGGGGAACGAGCTAAAGCAGAAGAGGTAGGAGAGAAACGTAGAAACCTCAAAGTCATTATAGCCAAAGGGAAGGGGGGGTTCAAAGAGACCATGGCCAACAGGGTCAAATCTACTGAGAGGTGAGACCGTTGAGGACAGAAAAGTGCCCAGTTGGTTAGCAGGAAGACATGTGTGGGGAAGGGAATGCAGAAGCCAGAACTCAGTGTGTATTCAACAAATTATTTCTTATTGACCCTGTAATGTGGTAAGACCATGTTATAACTGTAGTTTTGGGGGTACAGACCAGGTTCCTGCAATTTGGGAGCTGCTATTTGAACAGGCTGAGAGATAAATGAAATGATGAGAAGAGGTGAGAAGGAGGGTGGTAAAGAAGATAGAGAAGAGTTGGGAGCAGGTTTATTTTTAAAATGGAAGAAACTCATGTTTGTACAAATAAATGTTGGGAAAGAGCCAGGCAAGTAGCATAAATCAGACAAGCAGGAGAGGAGGATGGTGGCTTGTGACAAGACTCCTGGCAAGGTTGGAGGGACACAGTTGTAAAGACCCAGGTAGATAGCCCTGCACTCACCCTGGACAAACTGACCTTTCCGTTGGATCAGGAGAGAGGAGGTGAAGGCACAGATGTGTTTTGTTGAGGTTTGTTTTAAGGGAAGACGCAACAACATATTTTCTTTCTACCTGGTGGATTTCATATTCCAGAAGAAATAAGAGGTGAATTTGCCTGCTGAGAATGGAAAAGATGGAAGGATAATGGAGCAGCTAGCAGCCCAGTGGAGGATGGAAACGATGAGTGTGTTGTGGTCACAGTCTGTGTTGTTGTATGTTTGAACTTTTGTGCTGTAGCAAAGAGGTGGGTGTAAAGTGGTAAACAAAATGGGCAAAAATCCTTGCTTTTAGTGCCTTCTCCAGTCACTGCTTGTATCCAGTCTAAGATCAGTTGAGCTGTTTCAGCAAGAATAAGGACCTTGGCCAAGGCCACTCAGTAGTTTAGTGATAGGAGCCGGTCCAACTCAGTGTGTGTGGCTCTAAACCCAGTGCTCTTTCCTCACATGACCATAAATGGTGAGCTAAGGGGAGTTTGCACACTCAGTGTTGGGGACAGCACTGTCGCTTCTATGCCCTTTTCCTTCTCACCTGCCTCAGCACTGGGCTTCGGGCTCAGTCAGTGAACTGTCAGTACAAGTAGAAAGCATTGCAATGGACACATAGGAAGTCTAACTCTACATTATTTAGGTGCCCTCTGCTATGCTTCTAAAACTTGTGCGAAGTTATATGTTTGTTTAAATTTGAACCAACATTTCAGCAATGAAAAATAAACCAATATACAGCTATAAATTTTGGGAAGGAAAGAAGGGAAAAAGAACCAATCATAACAATTCTCAGCATCTGAGAGGAGTGTAATTAGAAGGTGTCCTGAGTTGGGTTTTGTGGAAGCAGACCCCGGGTTGGGGAATTCTTGTCCAAGTGACTTAGGGAGCGAGTTTCTCGAAAGAAGAGGGAAGCAGTGGGCTGTGGGGAGGAGTTAAAATTAAGTAAGGATGTGGTCTCCTCTTTAGATTTGCTTCCACCTAGTCCCACGGGGGGCTCTGGAGCGCCAATTATGCCAGAATGGCCCCTCACTGAGACAATGGTCCCTCACATGAGGCAGTCATTGGCCCCATGCTGCCTGGAGTCAAGTGTAGCTAAACCTACCCAAAGTGGCTGGGGGCAGCTGTGAGCCATTAGTGGACAACTCATAATATCTGGGGATGGGTGCACTGCCCAGTATGGGGATCTGGTTGGGATACCAAAGGGTTAGAGATATAATTGGAAACAATTACCAGAAACTAGCTTCGTCAGAGAATGATACTGAATTACTGTAGCTTTTACATATGTTTTTAAAAATAGATTTTTATTGATTTCAGAGAGGAAGGAAGAGGGAGATAGAAATCAATAATGAGAGAGAATCATTGATTGGCTTCCTCCTGCACGCCCCACACTGGGGATCGAGCCCACAATCGTGGCATGTGCCCTTGACCAAAATTGAACCCGGGACCACAGGCCGACGCTCTATCCACTGAGCCAAACCAGCTAGGGCCTATTATACATTTTAATTCTAGGTTTTTCTCAAATCATTTTGCACATTGACACTTGCTTATAAATTCATTTTTTGCTAAGTGCTTTGCATAGAATGTTCAACTATATGATGGTGGATGTATATCATTACATAGTTGCCAAAACCCCTAGAATATATAATACCAAGTTAAACCCCACTGTGCACTGTGGACTCTCAGTGATAACGATGCATCCATTGTGGACCCAATGATTGTAATAAATCTCCTACTGTGGTAGGGCATGTTGACAGGTCGAGGGGGGTGGGGGGACGGGACTGTTTGTGCTGGGGCAGCAGTTGTATGGAAACAATACTTTCCTCTACGTTTTACTGTGAACCTAAAACTGCTCTAAAACATAACATCTACCTTTTGGAAGTATAGGACTCTACAGAAAGCTGACCCTTCTGCTCGGTCAGTTGTCTACACATAAAGACTGAGACAGTGTACTGGCAACATTTAAACAATAGAATTCTCTCCGCTTGGACGCCCATTCCCACCATCTCCAGTGTAATCGATTGTCTAGTTGATGGGAAAGTTAGCTTGGAAATGCCTCCTTGACCAGGCCCAGCCCTCGGTGCCTCACAGGCCCTCAGGGAGGGGGGTTAATACAATTAGAATAGTCTATGATTGCATCTTGTTGAGCAGGCATAATTTAAAAACAGTATATTTGGTTTAATGATTTTCTTTTCATATCTGTCTGCACAGAACTTAGGAATATATTTCAAGTTAAAGTATAGTAAGAATCGGGTGACTAGCATCCATTGGTGGCATAATAAATTTCTTGGACACCTTTATTCACAGCACAGAAATCATTCTAGGTCATGAAGGATACCTACCTAATCACACACAATATTTTAAGTTATGCATGTAGATACGCACCACACACACAGACACACACACACACACACACACACACCTCCATTTAAAGAAACAACAAATAATTATCCACTCCATCTAAAGCGGTTGACTCATTTCCAGAAAGCCTATCACTGTTATACAGATTCAGCCTACAAATAACATTTAATATGTTAAGCTTTTAACCAAAACTTCTTAGAATTATGTTCTGACATTAACATAAAATGCTCGTTGGGTGTGTTTTTTTTTTATTACTTTAATGGACAGGCATCTCCCCTGCAGGAAGCTACTTCAGACGGAAGCTAATATGGATGAAAATGAAAACTAATAACTTTTATGAAATTACAGTGAGATTTGCCCTATAAGCTGCTTAGCGTTTCCATGGAAACGTGATCTGTTGAGCTTTGTTTTAGAAGTGTGATTCCCGGGAGATGAGAAGGGCTTTCTAATGCTGTCTGTGGGTTGTCTTTCCCCTCGCAGGCCTTGAACCGGGGAATCGCGGCTGTCAAGGAGGATGCGGTGGAGATGCTGGCCAGCTACGGACTGGCCTATTCCCTGATGAAGTTCTTCACGGGCCCCATGAGTGACTTTAAAAATGTGGGCCTGGTGTTTGTGAACAGCAAGCGAGACAGAACCAAAGCCGTCCTGTGCATGGTGGTGGCCGGCGCCATCGCCGCTGTCTTTCACACCCTCATAGGTAAGGCTGTGGCCTCGCTTTGGTCATTTCTCATCTCTTTACATCTAGTTAAATGTATGTGTTATAATAAGTGATTTCTTCAGCAATTATTAAATCTTCCTCATGCAAATTTCAAGAGCCGGAGGTTAATAGAGCTTGTGCTCCTGCTTCAAGAAAATGGATGGGGTAAGGCCTGGTGGTTTGCCTTTTGAATGTTGTGTGTTTTCTCTGGGAAACTGTAGTTTCGTTTCTCTGGTTCCCGCAGAGGGAGAGATTTCATTAACAAGTGATGCGGTCTAGGATCAGCATTCAGTAAAACCCACAGGAGCCCGGTGCTTTCGTTAGAGATGCGCATTATTGTACACTCACTTAATCTGGAGAATTAGAATACAAGGATGTTATTTAAAATGAACACTTATCCGTAGTGAGAACAAATGGCAGATTATATATTAAAATCAACTTCTTCCAAAGGGCTTCGTTATTCTGTTTTATTCAAAGACAAGACTAAATACTTTCGGCACAACATTCTTTCCTTGAAACAACAAGGAAGCCATATCACATATATAGTCACGTGCCTACGGTTTCAGCAGGACCCTGGAAAAGCACCTACCTTTAGGGCCACAGTCTGCGTCTACGTCTCGGTGGTGATAAAACCCAGAAGCCATAATTTCAGAACTTCATGGCTTTAAAACAGCTTAGCTTACCTGGTATAAAAATGGAATGGCACATGTATTGGACCCAGTTGCCCAGAACCTTCGAATGACACTTCAGAAACCCCTTGTGTACCTTAAAACCAGCACTGGCTGAATGAAGGAGGAGGAGATTAACCCAAGCCATTTGCAGTGTACTCAGATGGCAGCTAATGCTTACTCCCATAACTGCGAATCTGAAAAGAAATGGCAGGGGGGCGAGGGGTGTCTTTGTGTCTTGCCTTTTTAATGTAGCAGAGAATTTTGAGCTAAGAGCAGTGGGGATGGGAAGATGCTACTCATGGGCCAAATGTTCGGCCAAAGTGTTGATATTCACCATTTAATTTGGGCTCAGAGCTTCAGGGCATGGGTTGAGAGGAGGTCACCATCACGCCCCAAGATACGCCCTAAGTTTTGAAGAAAACTTCTGCAGCTAGATTTGATCTGGGCCATTTTCAAAAATGACATAAGTATTTGAGAAAACTCCATACATGACATATGTCTAAGCAGGTAAATTTGTTCCCTTTTGCTATTAGTGTTTCTGTATGGATTTCTGAATGAACCTACCACTCGGTCTCAGTCATGGTTGAATAAGACTTTTGGGAGGAAAGGCTTATTAGTAGTAGCTGTTAGTAAATATGGGAGAGAAAAGTTAAGTGTTCACCTGTGCCATTGAAACCGTTGTGAGGAGCATGTGGTCATGAAGAAAAACGTCAATATCATTTCCAAGTTAAATCTAAGTTTTTCCATTTTAGAATAGAATTATAAAATCTTAAATTTGCCCCAAAATGGTTCTACTTACCAGATATATTTAGCAGTCGGTTTTTTTCCACTTTTAATATTTTTATGATCTTAGCGCTTTTTCTTCCACCAAACAGATGCTTTCTCCAATTGCTGAGAAAGCACATGTCAGTTTCTTCTGAGCACTCAAAACTCAGATTTTAATGATTTGCCCTCTTTTTAGTTTGTTGGCCTCATTTCACTTTTCCACCTAACCCTTTAATCTCTCTTGCCTTCTGCTGTCACTGCATCAAACATCTTTGCTCCCCTTCCTTCCTTCTTCTTTTTTTAGTAACCCCATTAGCCTTTCCATACCTGGTCTTGTTCATTTATTGTTTCCCTGTAACTTGACTACAGGCTCCCAACAGCATGTTGCTCTATTACCATCCCCAACCTTTTCCAAAACTATTTTTCTACCATCAACAAGCACCCTCCCCATTCAGAATCTACTTTATGTGTCACCTACATAGACAGTTAAACCCATGTTCACATCTTAGTCATGCTGAAAACAGCTACTTGCATTTATTCTTTTAATAATCACCTCTTGGCTAGTTATGTTTGTGCCAGGGGAACAGTGACATAGATAAACCAAAAAGGCAAATATTTCCAATACATTGGACTAAAGAAGTTATTGTGGGCTCTCAGGCCATCTTCCTAATGATACTTAGTTGGACTGATATGGAAATGAATATCTACTCCATTCATGCACGGCTGCTGAGGGGCCTGCAAGAAGCATAAGAAGCCATGTATATACACAAACTCACCAGGCTTAACTCAGAGTGGAAATACAAACCAGGGGGATCCAGGCTTGAATTCTATCTTCTCTACATTCTTTTGTTCAGGTGAAACTAGCCTAATGGTCTTCAATTTTCCCTTTAGGGTGCTATTTCCATCACCTTAATGAATTTATTTTTTAATCAAGATCATAAGTTTTTCTTTTAACTTTTAAAAAATATAAATATTTTATATTGATTTCAGAGTGGAAGGGAGAGGGAGAGAGAAGATAGAAATATCAATAATGAGAGAGAATCATTGATCAGCTGCCCCCTACTAGGGATCAAGCCTACAATCTATGCATTTGCCCTTGACTGGAATCCTTCAGTCCACAGGCTAATGCTCTATCCACTGAGCCTAGCAGGCAGGGCAAGATCTTCCAGCTTTTCAGTAGCATTTCTATGAGGACATGTGAGCATGGAGGAGGAAGCGATTCCTTCTCTTGGGGGTTGGTTTGAAAAGCCTCCGACAGGGAGTGAGTCGTTGCTTCACTGGCTCTGAATGCGTGAGTTGTATTTCAGCACAACTTTTTCTAATTTTCCCCTTCTCTCTGATATAAGATAGAGTCAAGAATTTGACCCAGTGCTCTAAATTAATAGTTTGCTCTAGTCTTGTAAAATTCCAAAAGGTGGCTCATGATTGTAACAATACCCGAGTGTTCTGCAGTTTTTCAGTTTCACGGCCAACTCTTCTCATCTGCAGGAGTTTAGTGTTACCTGACTCCCTACTTCACGTAGATGTAGAAACCACAGCTATAGATTTATTTCTTTACACGTCTATTCTCAACAGTGACCTGTAAGCCTCTCCCATGACCTAAACCACCTGGGCGGTCAGCAGAGCTCAGAGCAACAACAGTTTTGCCATGAACAAGTGAAGTCATTTCTAGAGTGGTTCTGTTTCTCAGTCTTTCCTTGTCAACAAATTTTTCTATTATTCATGGATCATAAAGCAGCCCTCAAAATGGTGAATTGCTACAAATTGATGTAATTTAAACCAATGAGTGGGCTTGGAATGAATGGGCAGTTTCAGTACAGTCTTACAACTTACTGCTATAGAACAAACCACCCCTATATTCAGTGATTCATAACACAAGCATGTATTCTTGCTCACCAGACTTTGGGTTGACTGGGTAGTTCTTTTGGTCATGGCTGTGCTCATGCCTCTGTGGTCAGCTGATAGGAGCAGGCTCTGCTGATCTTGGTGGGCTCACTGGGGGGGCTGTCAGGTGACTGAAAGCTGGTCTAAATAGTCAGCTGGGACATTTTTGCAATCAGTCTGTCCCAGTCACCTCATTGGGGATAATGGATTCATGAATTTATTTAATCAATATATAATGCGTACCTCCTATGTGGCAAACACTGGGCTAGATCTGATAATCCAGACATACCGTACTAAGGCATGTTCTCTAGAAAAAAGCAGATGTTATACAAAAATCATTACAAAGCCCTGTCTTCCATGTCTTGATGCCAGTGAGATAGAATTGTTGTTTTTGTATTAATATGCCACATTAACTTTACTTACTTTGTATATAAGTTTATGCTACCTGTCCAAGGCCTGGGCAATTTTGTACCTCACATCCCCATATCTTCCAGATGAATGTTGCACAGTGCAGATATGGATGAGCTGATCATATGTCTGTGACCCAGCCTGATGCAGAGGACTGGACTCTGTGCAGCTATATGTTATGTGGCACACTGCCTGACATACAGAAGTCATTCAACCACTTTTGTTAAAGTGATTTCAATATTAGTCATGCAAACACACCACTTTGGAAATGATATATTAGAGACACAAGGGTGAAGTTACCAGCTGCTATGTCTAATAAACAGAACATAGTGGGCCAATCAGCAGTGAGACTTTCAAGCTTTGGAACTTGAGGATTTGAGTTAAAATAAGGTTTCTCAAATTTGCCTCTTGGAAATACACATATTACCCTGTTCTTAAAATGGGAGGAGGACTTTCTGCTCGATTCCATGGGGAAATGCAGGTATATAGACTTGTTTTGGTGAATATTAATGTTTATGGCCTTTTGCAACAAGTGCTGGGTAATTACTGGATGAACAAGCTTGCGAGCCACTGATTCTGGAAAGGATCCATGACCCTGGCAGGCTGAGGTCAGAGGAGCCTGGATTTGGATGGGCCCTCTGGTGTCTTCTTGTTTGGGCAGAGTCACAGCTGCCGACCTGTAAACAGGTCAGGCCCATGTCCCCTTACTGCGGCCCCAGCAGGAAATCCACTTACATCTGCTTAAACACCTTGTTCAATTTTCCTGTTTAACAGTTCCACTCTTCATAAGGACTACAAGCTATTACAGAGCAATCTAGGGAAGGCAGTGAAGAGAAGTTGAAGGTTACTCGATGTTATTGAGGCAGGTAACCTGGTGATTAGGACTCGTGCAAAGCCCTTTAAACAAATTACCCCCAGCCAACAGCACAGCCCAAACAGCTCCAGGGCACAGGCTGGGGAGGGAGGGGGGGGGGGTGGCAAAGACAGCTGCTCGGGTTTCTCGCCCTGCTCACAGCGGGGAAACAACCTTTGCAGTTATGATCAGTCTCTTCTCTGTGTAGGGGAGGAGTAGAGGGAAGGAAGAAAAAAAGAAAGAAAAAAAAAGGAGAAAAAACTTTTCTTGACCTCCAAATTTTTCTAGCTTCCAAAGGAGGAAAAGAAGGGAAGGGAAGCAAAGGCAGCCTTGGACCCATCAGTATGGGTGTGAGGTTGGGGGGGGGGGGGGGGGGGACCAGGGACCCTGGAGGATTCAGTACCAGCTGCAGCTGCACACAGCAGGGATGAGGGGACCCTGCTGGCAGCTGGAAGCGGGGCTGGGCTCAGCACCATCAGCCTCAGACCCAGCAAGCTTTAAATGTTTCCTGCATGACCCTGCAGAAAGGTCTGTCTTTGCTGTTTTAGTCACACTGTCCTAACATGAGCAGGAATATTTACCAAGGCCGAGCAGCTCATTTGCATTGAGCTCTACCCTCCCAGGCCACACAGCAAACATATGCCCGCTCTCAGCACAGGTTCCATCTTTCCTGCCGCTGCCCTGGAGTCTCCCAGGAAAAATCTCTCTCCCTTTCTGAGGAGCTGCCTGCCTGTGTGCTAACGAAGTAGCGCAGCCTGGGCAGCTCAACAACAGAAATGGGCTGCCTCCCAGGTCTGGAGGGGAGAGGATCCAGGTGTCACAGGGTTGGTTCTTTCTGAGCCGTGAGGGCCACGTGTCCAGGCCTCTCCCCACTCCAGTTGCTTTGCTGGCACCTGCGGCCGCCCTTGGTCTGTGGAGGCGTCACCTGATCTCTCTCTGCTCGTTCACGTGGCGTTCCCTTGTGCATGTCTATCTCTGTCCAAGTGCGAAGGGCACCAATCCTATTGAGTTGGGAGCCCCGCTACTCCAGTATGACCTCACTGTAGTTAATTATATCTGCAAGGTCCCTGTTGCCAGATTAAGGTCACATTCTGAGGACTGGGGCTAGGATTCAACAAGGGAATTGGGAGGGGACACAGCTCAAGCCACACCATCGCCCTCCAGATCTCAGCCTGTCACCGTTGTGCGGCCCCAGCTTTGGCTGTCCATCCAAGTCCGCTCGGCTGGCGTTTTATATCGGCTCTAACCTTTAGCAGGGAATTCTAGCTCCTGCGCTATTCATAGCCAGCGCTGGCCTCTTGCACTTGGCATCATGCCGCTCTGCTCGCCAGCCTGACTGCCTTGTGTGTGGCCAGCGGCCTCTGCCAGGGTGGGGCAGTGGTGTGGGCAGGGTCAGCACCATCTGCTTGCCGGTCCCGGGGGACGTTTCCTGAATGAATGAAAACACACGTACAGATAAACAGCAGCAGCAGCAATCAATTCTGAGATGAAATTCCCAAGATTCAGCACCTAACCTAGACAGTTTGCATGATAAAATATATCATGTTACTTTGTGATTCCACCAGCTTAGTTCAGGTCTGCGTGCCTCCATCATGCTTCTCTAATTCACGTTCTGACTCAGACAAAGAAGCTGCCTCCTTCCTTCTTCATCCCTTGCATGTAACTAATCCCACTTTCCCACCCTCTTTCTGCCAGTGACATCCCCCTCCCCCTTCCTGGATGTATCCTCTTGCTGCCTCAGTGGCCTCCTGGCCCTGCCACATTCCACACCTGCCACTTCTGCTCACCTGGCAGCCCACCTTATGGATCCTCCCCATGGCCCCTCCTCGGAGGACTCAGCCTCTCCTCCTGCTTTTGCCTCCCCTCATGGCTTAGCCCTTTTGGCCTCCACCCCCTGAAATCACAGACTTGCACCTCTGCACCAAGTGTGCATTTAAATACCCTTGATGTCATCCTATAGACCTCACTAAGTCCTCGCCTAATCCCTGTAGCTCAAGAGGAGTCCTGACAAAGGATGGAGAGACATTTCTTTTCACCAGTTAATGTGGTAATAAGTTATCCCCAAGCTTTGGGGGTGGGGGGGAAGGGGTCGGTTTATTGTTTCTCGTGAAGCGAGACTCTCGCTGCATTCTCTCTTCTTTCTGCTTTCAAAGCAGCTTCTGTGGTTGTCAAGTGCATGAATGCTCATATTTAGAAAAGAATGAAGATAGCAGGGCACTCCTGTGAAAGTGCTATGTAAAACACCGTGAAAAACACAAAGATGATCATAGTCCTGGATTGTCTAAATGTAAATCAGTGAGGAAGAAAACACATAATCATTTACTTCACCCTCGCTGATCCTATCCGTCGGAATGCCTAGCGAACACATGAGGAAGACCTTCCTCTGTCTTCCCTTTGTGCCTAGCTGGCACCTTCACATTCATTCAGCCCATGTTAATTAAGTGCCATTATGTTCCAGTCACACACTGGTCACAAGTCCTGGTGTTGGAGGGACTTTAAAAGCACCTCAGAAATACCATTTTTCCACCAACAGAGCAATCCCCAAGGTTGCTACACTCTTCCTCCCACCCCACCCCCGCTCCCAAATAAAACAAAATGGATAGCTAATGGTGAAAAGCTAACTATAAAATTTTTTCTGAGAATGCATAGTAACATCTAAGAATTTTCTCTTAGTAAATGATTAAGAGTATGTTTAAACCTTGAGCTTCAAACCTACTCATCAAGCCTTCTTTTATAATATCAAATAATGGAAACCACCTAAATGTACAATAATAGGAGACTGAGTACGTTGACACTAAGTATACCTACAGAAAGGAATTCAGTGCAACCATGAAAATGTAGAAGCATGTCAGGAAAAGGTATTCATGGTTTACAAAAGAGTGTATGTAAGTACTAGAGGCCCGGCACACAAAATTTGTGCGCAAGTATGGTCCCTAGGCCTGGCCTGCGATCAGGGCCATCTTCTCCAGCTGCCTGCAATCAACCCCGCCCCCCGCTGCCACTCACCCCGGGTTCCCATTAGACATCAGGTGATCGGTGCTTGACAGCCAGGGGAAGGGACAAAAGGGTTGGATGTTCCTGCCCACTCGCCGGCCCCAGCCCTGCAACGGTGGCCAGCAGGCAATCGAAGCCTGCCAGCTGGGGAAAGGAACCAGGAGGTAGTCACTGCACCTCATAGTGATTGGTCCAGTGGTCATTCTGATTGTTCTGCCATTAGGGTCAATTTGCATATTACCCTTTTATTTTATAGGACTAGTAGCCCGTTGCAAGAAGATTCCTGCAATAGGGCTTCCTGCTGCCCTCTTCCCCCGCCCCACCTGCTTCCCTTTCTTCTCCCCTGCCCCACTTGCTTGCTTCTCCACAGTTTCACTCCCTTCTGCAGCGCTTGGCTTCTTTCTACACTCTCCTGATATGCAAATTAACCACCATCCTGGTTGGGCTAATTTGCATACTCACCCTGATTGGCTGGTGGCGTGACTTGGGTGTAGTGAAGGTGTGGTCAATTTGCATATTACTCTTTTATTAGGTAGGATGATCACATTTTCTCTTAAAATACACATGCATACACCACACACTCTCACCACAACCCCCCCCATAAAAGAACTGAGCAATTAGAGCCCAGAGAATTCACCATGACTCCCACCTTTCACCAGGTAGAGGGATGAGATTGGGGATGGTTTTCTTCTTTTTGCTCATCCAAATTTCCTAATTAAAAAAATATATATATTACATTTAAAATTGTTTTTATAAACTGTTGAGAGAGAAAAGCATATAAAGATAACGTTTTCTAAATATCACTCTGTATGTTTGCAGCTTACAGTGACCTAGGCTACTACATCATCAACAAACTGCACCATGTGGACGAGTCCGTGGGGAGCAAAACGAGAAGGGCCTTCCTCTATCTTGCTGCCTTCCCTTTCATGGATGCGATGGTGAGTAGGGAAGATGGCTGGCTTGTGTTAGCTGTGGTAAAATATACAGAACGTAAAATTTAGCATTTTAGCCATTTTTATGCGTGCAGTTCAGTACATTCACACGGTTGTGAATCTTCAGAACTCTTTTCATCTTGTGAAACTGAAACTCTGTCCCCACTAAACTCTCCATGCCCCTCCCCAGTCCCTGGCAACCACCCTTGTACTTTCTGTCTCTATGATTTGACTCCTCTAGGGAATTTATATAAGTGGAGTCATACAGTATTTGTCTTGAAATAAGGTCTTCAGAGTTCATCATGTTGCAGCATGTGTCAAAATGTCCTTTTCAAGCCAAATAATATTTCATTATATGTATACTTCACATTTTTTATATTAATTCATCAATGGACATTTGGTTATCTCCACCTTTTGGTTATTGTGCATAATATTGCTATGAATGGGTGTCCAAATATCTCTTCCAGTCCCTGCTTCAGTTCTTTGGGGGAGACACCTACAAGTGGAATTGCTGGATCATATACTAATTCTCTTGTTAATTTTTTGAAGAATCATCAAACTGATTTCCATAGTGGCAGCACAATTTTATATCCAGTAATCAGAAAGGTTCCAATTGACCATTGAGTGAACCAGTCCATCTTAGTGTATTTTATGAGAAGTGTCTGTACTTGCAGTAAATTGTGGCAGGCAGCAAGAGAGCCCATTCGAAAATTTTGATTGAAATGTGAACTATTCTGATATATTCAGGATATGGGGGATCAGGATAGCTTTCTGATAAATGTACCACTTGTGTGGTATGAATACCTAAAGCTTTTTAGTGTAAGAATCTCTTTAATATACTGATAGGATTTGGTTCCTTTAAACGCCAGTTTTACCACATTAGCTAAGGGCAGCTCATTTCCATAGATTAAATTCTTTGTCAGGATTCTGAAGAATTCTCATGCAATGTTTTCCTTCTATTCATCTGTATTATAGACTTAAAGGAGACTTAGCAAAAAACATATATATGTGTATCTATATGCCAGTCATATCCAATGCTAAAAAATAAGTCCTTTCTTTGGGCTTCATTTTAAATTACCGTTGGAAGGAGACTTAAAAATATGATGATCAGTACAGTTTTTACCATCCCTACCTCAGGTTTTATTTTCATCCCAGACAACTAAGGTAAGGAGATATCTGTATTAGGGTGAGGCAGCAGCCCCAAATCTATGGAAGACGAAACAACATAAAATATACATGTGGCCCATCTTCTCAGATGTTACCAAAAGTCTTGGTGTGCCTACAGTTAGATCAATAATGGCTTTCTATAAGTTTGCAGTGTAGCCTTAACTATTAAACTCTTAAGGTTTGATGCAAAGATTCCGATTCTCAATTGTTATGACTTCACTTAAGTGGGAAAATTTAGCCATCAGAACACGTATATCTAGATTTTATTTTCTTTAATCATCAGATTGACACATAACCAGAAAAAAAGAGAAAAGCAAATGGGTTGGGACCCATAGAACCAGGTTCCCCAAGGTGTCCCTGCTGGCTGACCGTGGCCTCACAGTACTTTCTTTTTTCTTTTTTCTTTTTTTTAAAATATATTTTATTGATATTTTACAGAGAGGAAGGGAGAGAGATAGAGAGCTAGAAACGTCGATGAGAGAGAAACATCGACCACCTGCCTCTTGAACACCCCCTACCAGAGATGTGCCCACAACCAATGTACATGCCCTTGACTGGAATCGAACCCGGGACCCTTCAGTCCGCAGACCGATGCTCTACCACTGAGCCAAATGGGTTTCGGCCCCACAGTACTTTCAAATCAGTCAGAGCTGAATGAAATGACAGCCTCGCATCCCAGACAGAGTCCAGGATATTGCTCTATGCCTGCCCACTGTCTGCATGGGACTCTGTAAACACTGAGAATTAAAGTCACACAGTGAATTCAGGAAATGGGACTATTAGCAAAAATGAATTGCAAACTCTTAGTCACTCTGTATTCCACTTTCCTTCAGCTGTGTTCATTTGCAACGGTAGAGTTTCTAACACTTAGTATAACACCAAAATACGATTAGTACCCTTTTCTTCCATGTTTCATCTATCACTTCCCCAAAAAGACACCAAAGGTAAGAGATTTCTAATAAGAAAGAAAGAAAGAAAGAAAGAAAGAAAGAAAGAAAGAAAGAAAGAAAGAAAGAAAGAAAGAAAGAAAGAAAGAAAGAAAGAAAGAACTTGTAGAAAGAGCAGGTCATCTCCCCCAGCACGCGGGCACACACACCCCTACAGCATGGCCCTGATATATTAGTTGGAGAGATAATATTTGAAAACCACAAAGCTTATCATCCAGATGGCTTTTGGTCAACAAAGATAGCCCTGAGGCTATTTGCAAATGTTATCTACAGTTTGCATTTCTTTTCACATTCGGCACCTTAGGACCCAGAAGCTGAGGAAGGAAGTAGATGTGACAGCTGCTATGTAAAGTCTGGCCATTTAGCTCAGATGAGATGTCGTTTCTGTGTCAGGCCAGGTCGGCCTTTCCAGGTTTGGAAGATGATCCTTAAACTGATCCTATCATGAACCCTGCAGTCCCCTGCACTTCTCATTGTCTACTGCCCTTAAAGGACCTTTCTCTTCCTTCCCTCACAGGCACAAAGCGGTAGATCAGATCCCGCCCAAACTTGAAGAGAAGGAAACAGTAGGACCTTAATAGTCAGTGAGAACCAGTAATGACAGTGGTAACTCAGAACCAAGTTGAGCCCCATTATGATGGTCTGCTGCTCTGTGGTTCTGGCTGCTTTGAGAGAGAGAGAAAGAGAGAGAGAGAGAGATTCCTCCATTCTTGGTGTTTGCCCAGCTCTCCCACCAGGCACATGACCCTAACCAGTATACTAGTCTGCATACAGTTGGTATGAGATAAATGCTGTGCAGCCACTAATTCCTCTTGAAAATCTAACAGGGACGTATCCCCCAGGCCCAGGTATAGACATTTTACCAAACAAAGAGTTACCAGCCTGCACTACAGAGGTTTTAGGGGGAATAAAACCTATTCCAGGAATGCCCAGTGCATCACAACAACCAGAAATAATATAATCCCAAAGGTGTACCTCATGCCAAATTCTTTTTCTCCTGGCAGGCATGGACCCATGCCGGCATTCTCCTAAAACACAAATACAGCTTCCTGGTGGGGTGTGCCTCAATCTCCGATGTCATAGCTCAGGTAAGTATGGACTAGGGTCAGTCAGCGTTCTCAGAACTGGCTGATGCCTCCAGTCCATTCATTCACTCTGCAATACATCAAACTTAAATGTTTGTGAATCCAATGAGAAAAGGAGTCTCCTGTGATATAAGTCTGTATGATCTCACTAGAATGAAGGTTTTAGGAAGTTAATTTAGTATCAGAGGTTCTGACCTTGGCTTTTAAATAAGAGTTTGCATGTGGAATGACTCTAAAGTCACAGCTGGGACCTCTTGGGGTGGCCATAAGGTCTCTGTGCACTTGGCTGCATGGACCCTCGGCCCTCCATGTGGCTAACTACACATGACCTGTCACTCAGTTTTAGAGCACTAAAGAATTATTCTTAAATGTTGCTAATGGCATGGCCGGTGTGGCTCAGTGATTGAGCATTGACCTACAAACCAGACAGTCAGAGTTCGATTCCCGGTGAGGGCACGAGCCCCGTTTGCAGGCTCAATCCCCTGTGGAGGCTGTGCAGGAGGCAGCGCATCAGTGATTCTCTCTCATCATTGATGTTTCTATCTCTCTCTCCCTCTCCCTTCCTATGGAAAAAAAAAAGAATGTTATTGCTCACATTGCCACGCAGGGCTGCCATCCACACGTCACTTCCCACATTTAAAAGAACCAGGAAGTCAGAGGCTGCTGGAGAAGAAGCCTCCCTTACACTTTGTGCTGAGTCCAGTTCCCTGGGGTCTGGCACCAGCCCTGGTTTTCCATTCTCCGTTCTTTCTCCTTCTACCGGGATACCACATGAAAGATGTCAGCAGAAACTCAGATTTTATTACTATAATCTATAAATTAGACTTAGCTCAACATTCAGGGATTTAGGAGAAGGATTTTTCCATGGAGGAAGAGGCTGGACTGATTTCTAAGCTCCCTTCCCAGTTCTCCATTCTATTCCATGAACACTTCCATGCTTACCTTCCTGGTTTTCCCTATTGTACACGCTAGTCCTTTAGCCATCTTTTTGGAATGATCTACTGTTAGACTGTTAGTCCTGCCCTAAAGACCAAGAGTTAAATTTTCAGATTCATTGCATTTACTCCATGGATCACAATTGAAAGCAATTTAAATTCATTCCTGCTAACACTGTGTATGCATGCCTGCACACGCATGTCAAACACCTATGCGTGAACCTACAGCCATGGTCCTTCACAGTTTTAAACCTTATCCTGGCCTTCGCCAGTGGGGAGGGCTCCCAAATTCAGAATAAACATGTCTGGTTAGTAGGAGCCATGGAAGCTGGATTCAGTTGGCACCTGGGCTTGGTCTATTCCTGGCAAAGTAGTTATTTTAAGCCTTGTACTTTGAGTTTCTAACACAATAAAGTTGGGGGAATAAATATAATTTTTGTTCTTAAATATTTTACTCCTATTCCCACCGCACCCTCAGCTTCATTTCTCTTATTACCTAAAAGCATTTGTTAATTATTGAATTTGGAAAGGAGTAAATAGTTTCTAGAAAAAGTCCTTTGAAATACTACCTAGGCATAGATGGCAAGTAATCACCAATGTCAAAATGAAAGTAGTTGATAATGCTTTGGACTGCAGTGGCAATTCCCATTATTTACAAATTTTACTAAGCTAATTGATGTCACACAATCACACAATAAAACTCCTGGTTTGGTTCAAATGCACAATGCTTTTCTGTGCCACTATTACTGTAACAGTCATATGTTCCAGTGACATTGCCAAGGGATTTATGAAAAATGTTGCTGTGTTTGTTTCATTTCATGATCACCTGCATGTTCTTAGCTTGTTCAGTATCAAAATGAGAATCCTTTTGAGGCTTCTGGACCTTCTGGGACCTTCAGTCCTTTAATCTTTCTGCTGTCCTCAGCCCTTGCCTTCGGAAGTCATCTAGACCCCAAGGATCTGGTCAGACAGCTGGGATCCAACCTGGAGCACCCCTCTTCATCACCAGCCTTTTCAGTTTTCATCCTAGACTTTTTTTAAAAAATATATATTTTTTTACTGATTTCAAAGAGTAAAGGAGAGTGAGATAGAAAAAACCAATGATGAGAGAGAATCATTGATCGGCTGCCTCCTGCACACCTCCTACTGGGGATCAAACCCAAAACCTGGGCATGTGCCCTTAACTGGAATCAAACCCGGGACCCTTCAGTCAGCAGGCCGATGCTCTATCCACTGAGTCAAACCGACTAGGGCTAGGCTTTTTTTTTTTAATCTTCCCTCTTCTCCCCATCTCTGCTGTGCTCCCCCTGGTCTGAGGAACCCCCTGTCATCTGCACTACCTGAGGTGCCTCCTAACTCATGAGCCTTCTCCTTTCTGCCCTGGATGTCCATCCTTACCCCTCAGCCACAGTGATCTACTCTCTGGGGAATTCCCGTCCCCTCACAACTGCCCTAAAGCCTGTTTTAACATTGCTTCCTGGTGTTCATGAGATAAAAAGCCACAGTCCGTGGCCTGCACGCACTGAAGACCCACAGCCCAGCTTCCTCTCTGAGGGCCTGTCCTCCTGCCCCTTGCTCTCCGCACTCCAGCGGCAGGCCCTCCTTTCGGGGCCTGTGTGGCCCAGCCTCTCCCACTGGGGTGTTTGTGGAACGCTCTTCCCAGAAGGCAATGTTCTGCCCCAGTTCTCCTGCCTCCCTCTGGCTCCTTCCCCCTCCCTGCTACTTCTGCTGAGGTTGTAGGTCTCAGACACACTCCACATGGGCTGTCCTTCCTCCCCCACAGCCTGGCCCCCCAGCCATCGCCCTCTTTCCTTCAGGCCCAGTCACAGTTTGTCAGCCGTCACTCACTGGCATCACTGTTTGGTCCCTATTTCTGCCTCCTCCCGTAGACTGTCAGCTCCAAGACTACAGAGCCCGGGATGTGTGATTTATCACTGACTCCCGGCACTTGGTATGGGGCGAGCACATAACAGGCTCTCACCGGGAAAATCCTCACCATTGACACAGTAGGTTTCCCTCAGAAAATAACCTGACATTCTTTGATGGCTATATGAGATTCAAAGTCATAATTCTAGATTGAAATGCCAAGGCTAAGGGTAATTTAGATCGATAAGCAAAACCATCCACCACGAAGATGTAAGGGCCAACGTAAGTATTGGACCACGTGGCACCACATCCTTAAAAAGACAGGAGAGTGACAAAACCTTCACCTTGACCTCCGGATCTTTACTGGCCGAATGCATCCTCCTGTCCCTTCGTCCCGCTCTTGCTCACTGTGCTTGGACCATTTTCTTGTTATCTCCACACTTAATGCTTTGCTCGTGGCTCCCTGTTCCTTCAAGTCCAGACCTTCCTCCTTGGTCCTGCGTGGCCATCCTAATGGCCCCAGGAGCCTTCCTGGACTTGGCAGACGAGGGGTTGGCCTTCACCTATCCATTTTTTATATAAGTTTTAAATCTCTAAATATGGCCCGGCTGGTGTAGCTCAGTAGTTGAGCATTGACCCATGAAACTAGAGGTCACGGGTTCAATTCTGGTCAGGCACATGCCTGGGTTGCAGGCTTGATTCCCAGTAGGGAACATACAGGAGACAGCCTATGGATTATGTTTCTGTCTCATTGAATTTCTATCTCTCACTTCCTCTCTCTCACAATCAATAAAAACATATATACTTTTTAAAATTCTAAATATAATCATCTCCGTTTACCCAGTGCATGAGTCCTAGGTTACACTTGTGTAGACACACTAGTCTGCATTTGCATGTTGGAAAAACTTAGAGGCCTCTGATTCATTAAAGAAATTTATGGGCATTTTACCCACCACACAAAGGTCTCAAACTTCTGATCCAAGCACAATGGGTTCTTCACAAGGCTTCCCTGCAGTTCTTAGTTGACACGACAGTTGTTCCACTGGGAAGCAGTGGTCATGGCGACAGCCGTGGGCATCTCTGCTATATCCTTGAAGCTTGAGCGTGGCTGTGAGTATTGCTCCAGCTTGTGACCTCGCTCTGTGCTGCGGGCAGCCTGGTGTGTCCAAGGAGCCATGCAGCACCTCGGTCTGCATCCCCACGAGGACATCTGTGCTGGGGTCTCTCTCATTTACTGGTTTGAAATGACTGCCTGTGTGCAGGCAAATCGCCTCTCTAGCTAATACTTTTATGTCGCTCAGAAGAGTTTCTCTGGATCTCCCTGCTTTTCTCTGGTCACTGTGCAGTGGATGTGCTTCTTCAGTGAGTCTGCTCGGTCTCCGCTTCTTTTTAACCAATTTCTTGAGACCGCAGTGATCAGGATAAGCCTTTTTTGGTCAGGGTCACTCAGTGGGGCTGTATTTTACATGCCTGCCAGTTGGTGGATATTTGCCTAATGATGTAACTCAGGGACATCCCCTCTCGCCCATTACCCCACTTCTGCACGCAGTACGCCCCAGTGGTCTTCTGAATGTATGGGTCCCAGGACTCTGGACAGAGGCTGGACTGCTTCTGGGATTTTTTTTCTTCTCTCAATCTCCTCAGCTTTATTTATTTATTTTTTATTAAGGTATTATATGTGTACATACCTTACCAATCCCCACCCCCACCCACTCCCATTTCTGCAGGTCAGGGAGGGTATATAGAATACTGCATTTGCTTTAGAGACTCTTTATTATTTATAACCCTCTTGACTATGTTTTTACTATCCCATTTTTATAAGTTAATATTTTTAATTTAGCTTGTTTTATAATAACTGGTATTAGTACTTTTGCAGCATTTTTAGTAAATTCCATCTTATAAACACTAATATAAACTCTTCTGTATACTATTGTTGATCACCACTGTGTATGTGTGTGTGTGTGTGTGTGTGTGTGTGTGTGTGTGTGTAAGGTAACTTAGGGCCTCAGGTATCTAGCTTCAAGAGGGTAATGCTCTACTGCATCTTTCGGGGTCTGGGAAGCCAACATTTTTTAGCAATAACTTTAACCATATGTGTAGTTACTTGAAAAGAATGTTGGTGGTGAATATAACAAAACGATGGTATCACCTGTGAATCCTGTGAATCCCAAATATCTGGCCCTGAATTCTGTACTGAGCAGTACTGAGCCAGAGCCAAATTTCTGTTCCCTTTCTCATCAACATGGAGGTTTTCCCTCAGAGATCAGTTTCCTTTGGGTGCAAGAAATTGGGCTGTGCCTCTGTTGACTGGTACCAACTCCTCTCCTCTAACTCACTCTTGTCTACCCATCTCGCAGGTCGTTTTTGTAGCCATCTTGCTCCACAGCCACCTGGAGTGCCGGGAGCCCCTGCTCATCCCCATCCTCTCCTTGTACATGGGCGCCCTTGTGCGCTGCGCCACCCTGTGCCTGGGCTACTACCGGAACATCCACGACATCATCCCCGACCGGAGCGGGCCCGAGCTGGGGGTACGTCCTCGGAACTCGTGGCGGCCTGCCTGTACAGCTGAGTGGGATGAAACTTCACCCCACCCCTCTGTGAGATGAGCCGTCAGTACACTCAGCACACTCACCGAGATGTCAAGTGCCAGGGGCGTCCACGGGACAGACAGCTGGAGAATTCATGAGCTCTGGAGGTGGAAGGGATCTTAGAATCTGTCCAGCTCCGTATCTCTGTATGAGACTGGGGCTCAGTGACTCAGGTCGGGCTGAGGAGTGCATACACCATTGATGGTTTTTCTTACTCTTTCGTCAACAGTAAATTATTCTACAGTCACCAAAGACTTTAGCCCCCATGGTCCCTTTGAACTCACATTTGATCATTTTTAATTTACACTAGGGATTCAGGCAATGTTCCTACACTGTGTTGGCCAAACACAGTCGCTCATTCAGGTACCTTGTGTGGAGTGAGAAGAGCATTTAGGTACCATAGAGGGACACAGGAAATTTTAAAATATGGCCTCCACTGTCAAGCAGCTGTATGTCCCCATTCAGCAGATAAGGCCAGTACAGATGGGAACCCAAGACAGTGCATAGATGCAGTGAGAACACTGCAGTGAGAGCCAATGACGCTGAGAGGAGGAAGTGGGTGATGTGGCCGACACGCCTCCCTGATGGAGGCAGAGCTTGGCCTGGGCCTCGAAATTTGAGTAACATGCAAGCAAGGTATAATCTTATACAAATGACCAAAGTTTCCTTTCCATCAGAGGGCCTGATTTATAGGTATGCTACCCTTAGGTCCTAGACATCATTTGGATTTATTTCCATCTGGCTATAAGGCAGATGTGTGTGATTAAATGTAGCCCTGAATAAATCAGTACACTCCACCCCTGACCCCACCTTTGACCACATGTTACTTTCATCATGTCAGAACATTAATTGTATTGCCCACTTACCTCAATTCCAAGCCAGGCCACCAATAAAACCGGAACTAGTTATTTCTGTCCCAAGGACAACCACATCTAATTGACCTTAATAATGGCACTCCATCTCTTAACAGACAGCCACCAGCTAAGGAAAATACATTAAAGTGGCTGAGATGGTCCCATGATGTAACTTTTACCCTCATGAAGAATCAAAAGCTGGACTGGAGATAGCACACATCTTTGCTGTGGCATGTTCAACAAAATACATTTTTGTTACCATGCTTTTATTTTACTTATGCTTCCAAACATTTATATGATTTCTGTTAGAGCTTTTTTTTTTTTTTCCAGAGAGAAAGAGAGAGGGAGAGAAAGAGAAAGGGAGCCATCAAAGATGAGAGAGAATCGCCAAAACCGGTTTGGCTCAATGGATAGAGCATCGGCTTGGGGACTGAAAGGTCCCGGGTTCGATTCCGGTCAAGGGCATGTACCTTGGTTGTGGGCACATCCCCAGTAGGGGGTGTGCAAGAGGCAGCTGATCGATGACTCTCTCTCATCGATGTTTCTAACTCTCTCCCTTCCTCTCTGTACAAAATCAATAAAATATATTTTTTTTTAAAAACATTAAAAAAAAAAAAAAAAGATGATGAGAGAGAATCATTGATCAGCTGCCTCCTGCATGCCCCTTACTGGGGATGGAGCCCACAACCCAGGCTTGTGCCCTGACCGGGAATCAAATTGTGACCTCCTGGTTCATAGGTTGATACTCAACCACTGAGTCACTCTGGTTGGGCTCGTTAGAATAAGTACCTCTGTAGGAGATGTACATAATGCCCAAATAACTAGGCATATTTGTGAGCTGATTTCAAATTTTTTTTTTAATTATAGATATTGTTTACTTTTAAAAGTTACCTCTTCAGGGATGCGAGGCAGGTGAAAGAGGGTAAAGGGGAGGTAAATGGTGGTAGAAGGAGACTAGATTTTGGATGGTGAGCACACAATGCAATGTGCAGGTGATGTATTGCAGAATTGTACACTTGAAACCTGTATAATTTTATTGATTAATGTAATGCCAATGAATTCAATTTCAAAGGAAGAATAAGAAGAAAAAAGAGTTACCTCTTCCTGACATGGCTTCCGGCCAGTCATCTTGAGGATTTAAACAAAAACTAATTTTCAACTTGTTTCTCGGACCATGGAGTTGGTTTCTGCCTGGGTTAGAGTTGCCCTGTTTGGAAAATAGTGGTTTGGATCGCTCAAGGCTAAATGTGTGTTTTGATTTCACAGCAGCATGCCAACTGTCTGAGTTCATTTCATTTTCACTGTACATTTTATTTTAATTCAACTTGGCTTGTCTACAGAGGCTTTTCCTTATATTGTTTTTTAAGTTCAGTGAATTGACTTGGGATCAACATCAAAAAAGAAAGGCTTTGGCTCCTAATTGTTCTTCCTGTTTCACTTCTAGCGTTTAGTGAACTTTTGCCTCCATTACTTTTTTCTTTTTTCTTTTATTTATTTTTTATTTTTCCCCATGGCCATTTATTCCCTCTGTTCCCTCTTCCACCTTCACTCACCCCTTCCACCTCTGCCATCTCCACATTGTTGTCCATGTCCATGAGTTCTCTCTCTCTCTCTCTTTTTTTTTTTTTTCTATTTTGCTCAACCTCACTACCCACTGCCCCAACACCACCACCCCTAGAGCTATCTGCCTGCTCTCTATCTATGTGTCTGCTTCTGTTTTGCTGGGTAGTTCAATGTGTTCATTAAATTCCACATATGAGGGAAATCATGTGGCACGTCTTTCTCTGACTGGCTGACAGCCTACCTCCGTTTCTTGATGCAGGGAGATGCAACAATCAGAAAGATGCTGAGCTTCTGGTGGCCGTTGGCACTCATCTTGGCTACTCAGAGAATCAGTAGACCTATTGTCAACCTCTTCGTTTCCCGGGACCTTGGCGGCAGTTCTGCGGCTACAGAGGTAGGGGAGTTTCAGAGGATGTGGGCACTTGTCACCTTATTAATGAATAGGGGTTGAGGAGGTGGGTTACAGATTTGTTTCCAGTGCATCCTGAGAGCTCAAGTAATCCTGTGATACTACATCATATGACACATTCCCACTAGGAAGCCAGGAGGAGCTCATTCGGTGACTTATAATCATGTAATTCCATATCTCTGTGAGTCTGAAAGAAGACATCTCATTCATCCTTCTCAATGACCACATGCGGAAACTGAGGCAAGGACCCACGGTTAACAACACAAAACTGGCAAGAAGCCGGGCCAGTATTAGAATCCAGGTTGTCTGGCTCTCGTCCAGTGACCTCTCCATTTTTCCATGGAGTCAGCATGATGCCTCTCTGCTGTCCTGCAGAGGACAAGGGAGCAGGACATTCGGCTGCAGAAGGGAAAATACCCAGAGGGTTTGGGGCCCATGCTTCCATTTGGACCCACCTGCTGTCACCTGATTTTTACTCTGCCCTCCTGCACGTTCCGCCCACCCATTGTGGCTGTATGTGCTCTTTGGCCATCTGCCCTCCTCTAAATGAGGAGCTCACTCGCAACTCATGAAATTTACCTGGAAACTGGCAGCTACTCCAAAGAAAGAGTTGAATCTCTTTTTCCATCTTCCATGGAGGGTATGAACAAATAAAATGACTTCATTAGTTTCCTCTGCTGCTGCTGCCATTGCTGCCTCTGGAGAACCAAGTCTGTCTCTGGAACGGCCGACCCTTCAGGAAGGCCAGCAGCTGCTCCTCGGCCTCCTGTTTACACTGTGCCCTGACAGCGCTGTCAGCATGGCTCCAGCCCGGGGTCTCCTGCCAGTTTCCATGTGCTGGGAAGCCGTTCCTGGCGGCTTGGAAAGGGGAGCCCATAAATCACAAGCAGAACCCTTTCTCTCGCCTCAGTTTGTTCCTGGATTTGTGTATTGAGTCACATCATCTTGGGTGGCTTCTGACACACAGCAGCTGTGTTACTTAAAGATGGCGGTCTGGGTTGCCCAGTGAAAAGAAGGTGACCTCCATCAGCTGTGGGCTGGAATTCCATCCTCCCCTTACAATAAATAAGGCAACTAATTTATCTGTTAGAGCCATTTCTCAATTGCCCTCCGTGGCATAGAAGCACAGCCCATGGGGTACAGGACAGCATTGTGTGCCCGGGAGTGGCGCGAGCTGGCCCGGGACAGCACCTGGGACCAGGAGCATGGTTTTACAGGAATCCAACAAGAAACAGGTCCAAGTCCAGATGGCTGGCTCGAGAAGCCAGTTCAACCCAAGTCCAGACTCCAGAATCTTTGCTTTTTCCATAGAGCCAAACCACACCCTCTAGTTATCATCTATTTATCATCTACTTAAGCACATTTCATTGGCTCCCCATATGCCCGTGGGATAGATGTTGTTTTTCTCCTGGTTCTGCTGGAGGAGCGGGAAGGGAGGCCTGGCAGGTTCGTGCAGCACACAGCTGGCAGGTGAGGAAGTAGAGGTTTGAATCCAGGCCCTCCTAATTCCAGCGCTCTTGTTTCTGGCACCGTACCCGTCCCCACAGCGGTTTTTTTCAGCCTGCTGAGAACGCCCCTCGTGCTTCTGGTGTGGCTGTTACGTGAATTAAAAACGAGGAAGCCTTTGCTACCTAGCTAGAGAGTTGGGCTTGGCCACAGTGTAGAGTTAGATGCTTTGTTTTCATTTCCTTCCTTGTCGTTCACAGAAGGAAAGAAACCCACTTTCATGAAAGAACGTGTTTGACTTTCTGTAAGCAATAGTTATTTAGTTTTCTTAAATTAAAACTAAAAACCAGGCTCTGCTGCCTGCACGGATTGAAAGGGAGTTGAGAGTCAGAAGGAGAGAATACGTAAAGCCATCAACCAACACATGCCATCAGTCGCCCTGAAGGACAGGATGGAGTTGGAGAGAGGATCCTGAGCAAAGGCCATCCAGAGAGCAGCGAGGGCTCAATTGGAGATTCAAGAATTGGGCTGGACTAGAGGGTGTGGTTTGGCTCTATGGAAAGAGCAAAGATTTTGGCGTCTGGACTTGGGTTGAACTGGCTTCTGAGGCCAGCAATCTGGACTTGGACCTGTTTCTTGTTGGATTCCTGTAAAACAAGACCCATGCTCCTGGTCCCAGGTGCTGTCCTGGGGCCAGCTCGCACCACTCCCAGGGACTCAGTGGAGCACCCGCCCCTCCCAGGTCATCCTGGGGTAGGCCGATGCCTGACACCCTGTGAAGTGACAGCTTCCTTTGCCGCATGGCAGACGGCTGTTACTGGAGATGCTCTCTGCCAATGCCCAACGCTAACTCTGCTGGCTCTTCCTCTTGCAGGCAGTAGCGATTTTGACAGCCACGTACCCTGTGGGCCACATGCCATATGGTTGGTTGACGGAAATCCGTGCTGTCTACCCTGCTTTTGACAAGGTGAGAACCTGTGCGGTGTGGCATCTGAAACACACTCTGTAAATTAGTGTTTGATAGACAGGCATCTCTGGAGAAGAGCACTTTGATGTTTCCCAATCTCTCCTCCCTTGGGAAGGTTAATGTGGTATTGGGGATGTCGACAAAAATTGTGGAATATTTCCTCAGAAAACAACAGAAGTAAAATTCAAGCCTACCTTGATGCTGAGCCTATAAGGCCTCTCCAAAATGATGTTTGTGTTTGGGTTAACCTACTGAGAAATTATGTTTGCAAAAAGGAAAATATACTCTCAAAAAAAATTAATACTTTGGATTTTGTTTCTGTGATTTTGTTTTGTTTTCTTTAGTTAAACTAACCCTAACTTCGTAGCAGATGTGAAGGTACAGATAGGAAGTATGTACTTGAGCTCGGAAGTTTATGGAAGTCTTCGGTGTGCGGGGTCCATGCACACCGGAGTGGTCTCTGCGGCAGGTGTGGGTCCTCGTGGGTCTGGACGCAGCGGCTTGTTGCAGCTGGAAGCTGTTGACAGAGCTCTGTCCCCGGCTGCTGCTGACACAGCCCTCTGTCATGTGGCCTTTGGCTGCATCAGGAACATCCCGTAAATGTCTATGTCATCAGGCTTTATTATTTGAACCTAAAACTTGTAGCCTTTTATCCTAAAACAAATGTCTAGCCAACGGGCCCCAGAAAAAGATAGTTAGTATGCAAAGTTTTAAAATAAAGCATGGGAAGAAGCACACAACCTGCTCCCAGTACTCTTAATAGCAACTGTTTGGCCCTGAGTTCTTATAGAACTAGATCAGAGCCATTGCAAATGTAATTTTATCTTTTTTTAAATTTACTTTTCAATCAAAGTTGACATACAATTTTATAACAAGTTTCAGGTGTACATCCTAGTGATTAGACATTTGTATACCTTACGAAGTGATCGCCAATATCATTTTATCTTATCCCAACAAAAGCTCTGGGAGGCAAGGAGAGGAAGCCTCTTTGCCTGGGGTCTCCAGCGGATCACCTGCCCTTATTCTCACACCCATAGTCACCCATAAATAGCAACTCACCTAAAAACACGCCTGGGATTGCCACCCCGCAGCCTCATGGGAGATAGAGCAGCAGTGGTACCCAGAAAGCTTTACTGGGTGTGGAGTTTTCCTGGGAGACCATCAGTTGGACTGTCCACCTTTTGCAAACATTCTTTGCAACCTCAGGATGCAGAGCAACTCTTATAAAAGAAAGTTCGTCTGCATTTGGGTTCTGCTTCCCAGGGCTCTGAGCGCAGACGTCAGAGGCACAAGGCACTTGCAGGAGAAGGTGGGCAGCCCTTGTTTGAGTGGGTTTCATCCAGTCTACTGACAGAAATCATTGTTTTCATTTCAAGGAACATGTGTAGACAAGTAAATCCTAGAAAACCAAAATGGGTCTAAGTCCTCCTGCTAAATCTCTAGCTCTAGGAGAACAAGATTAGATAATAAAACTTGATGAGCATAGCAGGTATCGAAGCGTTAGAGCCTCCTGGCCATGAAAGTCTCCTCTGAAATTGTTTCTGACTCCCTTGAAATAATAAAGCTTAACAATACAGCACTGTACAGTTTCGCTAGGCGCATCCAAGAACAACATTGTTTTATGCATGATCGCAGAGGCTGGGCGCTGGGAGACAATTCCTTTAACGAGCACACCTCCAGCCAGAAGCTGGAGTTACTTACTCAGAGCCCTGTAGAAACCCCACCCATTGTTTCCAGGCATTCTGCGGGGCCGCTCCAGCCATTGCTGTGAATGCTTCTGTTCACCCAAACCGTAGGCACCTCTGTGTGGACTTCCAGGATTTGCTGCACTGACAGTTGAAATCCTTAGCCTCTTTGTGGGTTGCAGAGTCAGAGATTTAACATTTCTCGCATAACTTCTGAGGGTGCTAGCTCGACACTGAACTAGAGTTTTCCACTTGCACACACTCTCTCTAATGTTCAGTTCTCATCTGCGAAAGAGCATGTTTCTGAGCAGATTGGACAAGCAACACAAAGCGCAGATGCCAATCTAGTGATATGTGCTAGCTTATCCTAACCGTACTTGCAGAAATAGTTGCTATTTTAAAAAAAAAAAAAAATGTGTCCCTGAAGGAGCCATGGCACGTCACTGTCACCCCAGGCGACCTGTGCTTACTTCTTTCCAGGGTGGCTGCTTTCTCACTCCACCCATGGGGGTGAGGGGGGACCACTCCCACATATCCCTGCAGTGGGTGGAGATGGACAGATGTCCTACCCACTGTGGTCTGCACTTGGCCATGGCAGCAGATGTGCACTAGAGATTGGAAATGAGGCCGTGTCAGCTCATCCAGCGTTTGTGCTGGCCACATCTGCGAGAGGAAGGGACTGGAGAGATTGCTTTGGCCTCTGAAGTTGGGGAAACATCAACAGTTCTTATCCAGTTGGGCCTGTATTATCTCCGCTGTGTGTCTCTCCTTGGGCGGGATGTGGGGTATGTTTTTGTTCGTCTGCTCTGGGGCTAATTGGATCCACAATGAGGAGGGGATTGTTCTGCTCTGCTGGTTTCCACAGTAGAGGGCCAGGCATGCGCTTGGACTAGGTGAAGGCACGCTGAGCAGTAGCCCTGGGTGGCCTCAGCAAGGCTCAGATTCAGGGATGTGTAAGAAGACAGCGGAGCCGTCTGTGTTACTTGCTTAAAATTCAATGTCACAAAGGCTGTTGAGCATGTTTTGTGCTGGGGAAGATGGTGCTGAGTTGCAGGAGCTAAAGAGATTGGTGAGAGGCATGGTCCTTTATCTCAGAGAGCGAGCCCACCCCTCATGGGTCTTTGACACAAGCCCTGAGGACAGGCCAGGATGCCAGCCCTGACTTCGGGGTCTACACTGCAGGAAGGGGCAGAGGCATTTTGGAGGGGAAAGATCAGAGAGGCTTTAAGGAACTGGTGGGCTGTGAGGATGATGAGCCTTGAATAAAGAGGTGTTTTTGATGATTAGAAGATCCAACGGGAGGAGGAGGAACAAAAGTACAAAAGCCTGGAAGCACCAAGTGGGTGAGGGGAAGAGCAAGTGGTTCCCTTTGGGACTTGGCTTGAAAAGACAGGGCAGAGCCAGGACCGGTTTGGCTCAATGGATAGAACATCGGCTTGGGGACTGAAAGGTCCTGGATTCGATTCCGGTCAAGGACATGTACCTTGGTTGCGGGCACATCCCCAGTAGGGGGTGTGCAAGAGGCAGCTGATCGATGACTCTCTCTCATCGATGTTTCTAACTCTCTATCTCTCTCCTTTCCTCTCTGTACAAAATCAATAAAATATATTAAAAAAAAAAAAAAAAAAAAAGAGGAGGACCCGGAGCCCAGTCACCATTGTCCTTTCTCCCCCTAGAACAACCCCAGCAACAAGCTGGTGAGCACGAGCAGCACGGTCACAGCGGCCCACATCAAGAGGTTCACGTTCGTGTGCATGGCCCTGTCGCTCACGGTAAGGAGACACCCCCTCGCCATGTTTTCGGAAAAGGAGAAATGGTTGTATTAAAAGGAGATGTCGTGTATCCCAAAATGCGATGTTAGGCTAGGTTATTAACAAGCTCTTCAAAATATGTTCATCCCAAAACACGAGCGATTGTTATTTGAGGGAGCCACTGAGTCCAGGAAGCAAGGGTTGTGGTGTTTCTTGGGACTGCTCACACGCTGCAGGAAGGCGGGCCTTGCCTTCCGTCTTAATCATACTCTCGTCTTGCTGAATAATTTCCAGCCTGTTTTTTAACATCCAGAGTCGAACGTATTACCATCCCTGTCCCTTTCCCAAACTTAATGGGTGATATTTTGATTTCCCCGGTGAAAGTTCCTTTCCTAATTTACGTGGATGCTGATGGCGCATGTTTATTTATTCTCCATGCAACACGTGTCAATGGAGCACCTACAGGATCCCGCTCTCTGTGCCGTCTTCCCAGGTGCAGCGGTGAGCAGGTGCCCCTCCCACCGTCCCACTGGCAGGGCCCGTGGGTGACTGCACAGCCTCAAACAGCTCACCTTCTTCCTTTACCAGCTCCCATGGCTGTTCAGATGTAGAAGATGATGCTCAAAAACGTGAAGAAAACACTGTACATGCACTGTAATCCAAAGCACATGGTATATAATTTAAGGCTGTTTATAATACTTATCAACAGTAGCCAAAGAGCACACACACCATTTATAAACAAGCTTACATGGTAGATTGTGCTCTTTGGAGACAAGAGGAGGATCAAAGGGAGTTCTGGTCTTTTGAACTCTGTTGGTTTCCCTTTGTTGTGGTGGTGGTCCGCATTGCCTGTCAAGTCCTATGGAAATTCCCCTTTTTTCGAGTACAGTATGAGGATCTTGTGCTGAAATGCCTGTGTGTGCACTTCTCAGCAGCAGTGACTGATAGCGGGACTTACAGCAGTAAGAGGTGTTGGGTTCTGCTGGTGACAGGGACACAGTAACTGTAGCCCTTCCTACCATCACCACGAGAACTGTTTAGCTGGATGAGTCCTGGCAGTGGTCCTTTAAAATTAAGCCCTATGTATGTTTTAAACCTTTAGTGGATTTTTTTTAAAATCCACAGCTTAATCTTGTATTCATTGATCCAACATCCGAGTAGATCGTAACAATGGGAACATGGGATAAAGAGCCCATCTGAGAACGCCTCTGACAGCTGCTGATCTTGTGTCTGTCCTCAGCTGCCCGTCACTCCAACCCAGCCCCTCCCACCTATTTGTCTCTCATGAAAGCAGTAGGGTGTCAGAAATATATTCCAGGCCCACCTGACCCAAGGAAGTTCTGGTAGCATGCCTGTGCGAGTCAGGACAGGTTACCCCGTGCAACCCGGCTCCCCTGTTTTCATTATTTCTCTCTATGGTGTGCAAATTTTTTCCTAATTGCCTAAAATATTAGCAAAACACAGAACAACCTGGAATCTGTTTAAGAGTCATTTAGGAAAAACAGAGAAGGCTTCTGTTGCGGGAATAGCCCTCAGCGTTGGGAGACATGTTAAATGACTGGGAGTGCTGTGTCCAGTTGGGATGCCAGGTTCTGTGCCTTGGACCCTTTCGCACAGAAAGCTGGAAGCTCTGGGTTGTTGCTGGCTCTCCTCGTCTGTCTCCTTTTGCTCCATTTAACCATCTTCCCACCGCTACAGTGAGTCCAAGGGGGGACTCGGCCAGATTGGATTTGAGGATATTTTATCTCTCCTTAAACTCACCGGCAGTAATCTGTACTTCTAAATCAAGTACAAGTTTATTTTGAAATGACCAGTGTCTATGATCTAGAAATATATTTTGGTTTTCCATGTAGAGTTTTTTTTAACTTAGTTATACTAACGCTACCTTCTGTAACTAGAAGTACCTGAGGGTAGATTTCCACCAAGAAAATAGAGACTCAGAAACCTCTGTTGCAAAGGAACTTGGAGATGACTCATCATATTTTAGGAAAGGAAAGGGAGAGTGAGTGACTTGTCCATATACCAGCTAGAAACCAGCAGGCTCCTTCTTCATGCCCACCGCTTCCTCTGAACCACACGAGCAGGTGGTGCTGGTGGTGCTGGTGATGGTGCTGGTGCTGGTGGTGCTTGTGATGGTTGGGGGCCAGACACACTGTGGTGCTCGTGGTGTCCTGGTTCGCAATCTCAGCACCTGCTCACACCCCCAGGTGCGTGAGGCTCTGACCACGAGCACGTTCCCAGTGGCCTGAAACGCTCCCTGTCCTGTTGACTGACATCAGGTCAGCATGCGGGGAGTCGGCAAAGCCCAAGTCAAACACTTCAAAGTCGTTTTTGTAAACGATCTCAGATATAGTAAGAAACACCCAGCGGAGGCAGGTCCATCAGGCAGTGTGTTAAATGAGCATGACAAGGACACAAACACCCCGTTAGCATGCTAAGTGGCCATTTTGTGTGTTTAATGAAGCCAGAAACCATTAGGCCCCAGAACGAAGGAAAACAATCACAAAACCATCTGGTCCCACGGAGGTATTCCTCCTGGCTGACAAACTGCAAAAGTGACCCGGAAAGTCAAGTTGCTGTTTGCAGAGTGACCCAGGGCCTTTGCTGAAAACCCTTCTTATTTTTATCCTCATGAGTTTACTGCATTTCCAGCTCTGGGTCAGACGGCCCGCTGGTTCTGGCACAGTGAAGTCGTCACAGGTTATGCCGCAAGATTATTCTGGGGGTCTTCTCGGACCTTGTGAACAGGTTCAGAGAACCAGGGTGTGATGCTGAGAAAACAATCGTGCCTAAAAAAACCTCCTCGCCTTTAACCAGGTGCCAGAAGGTTTGCAAGAGCCTGTCTGTCTCTGAGAGATGGCCCTTACCCATGTGGTTTGAAGAATGAATTGGCCTTTACAAAAAATAAAAGAAGATAAAAAGTTTATAGGAAGCCATGGGGCAGCCGAGACCGGTTTGGCTCAATGGATAGAGCATCGGCTTGGGGACTGAAGGGTCCCAGGTTCCATTCCGGTCAAGGGCATGTACCTTGGTTGCGGGCATATCCCCAGTAGGGGGTGTGCAAGAGGCAGCTGATCAATGACTCTCTCTCATCGATGTTTCTAACTCTCTCTCTCCCTTCCTCTCTGTACAAAATCAATAAAAATATATTTAAAAAAGAAAGCCATGGGGCACTCACTAAGCCAGCGCCTGTGAACTGATGGCCTGCATGCCCCTGGAACTCTGGAGTCACCTGGCTGCCCTCTTTTGTTTTAATGAGTTGAGAAGAGAGGGATTTCGCTCAAGCTTGAATTCAGGGCCACATAGCGCAGTGCTTAGGGATGTGGGCCTGGAAGCCCCAGAGCCTGGGTTCAAGCCTTGGCTGCATCACCCACCGGCTGGGTGGCTTTGGGAAGGTCACTTAAACGTACCAGCCTCAGACACCCTGCGTATGTATTCATGACCCGCCGTGGACATGCACACCGAGTTTGAGGGCAACTCGGTGCATATTAACCTGCATTCCTCCACCCCTCCTGTCTGCTCTGCACTGCCTCTGTTTCTCCCTCTCTCTCCAGTTTCAGCCTCTCCCAACTCACTGCTTTAAATATATTTAAGGCTCCCAACCTTTAAGAAAATTAAAGGATGCCGAAACTGGTTTGGCTCAGAGGTAGAGCATCCATCTGCGGATTGAAAGGTCCCAAGTTCGATTCCAGTCAAGGGCATGTACATTGGTTGTGGGCACATCCCCGATAGGGGGTGTGCAAGAGGCAGCTGGTCAATGATTCTCTCTCATCGACATTTCTAGGTCTCTATCTCTCTCCCTTCCTCCCTGTAAAAAATCAATAATATATATATATAGATATATATAGATATATATAGATATATATATATATATTTTTTTTTTTTTTTTTTTAAAGAAAGAAAATTAAAGGAAACATAAGAACCATCTCTTTTTTCGCAGGCAGACTACATTTCTCTCCTTGACATTCGAACTTCTTGAGACAATTACCTGAAAGCACCCTCCCCCACCTTCCTGGCTACCAGGCCCTCTGCCCCCCTGCCCAGCCAGCTGCCTCCTCTTGGGGAGCAAGGGGACCCCGCTTCCTTCCGAGATCGCTCCTTGAATCAGAATTTTTGCCCGTCTCTTATCTCCTTACAGAGCTCAGAGGTCCCCACTGTCTCACTGCCCAGCTCTGGGGGCCCCCGTCTGGTTCTCACGTTTCGTGTCTGATGCGGCCCACTCCTCAGTCCCCTGCTCATGCCTTGCCACCCATCACATTGTCCTCGGTTGGTTTTCCTTTTCTCTTTCTGACTTTTCCGTCACCGGCTCCTTGGTGGAAGCCCCTGTTCCTTCCTATGAGTGAGCCCCAAACTCTGCCCTACTGCCTGCCCCTGCCCCCTCTCCCTGCAGGGCCTGCCTGAGGACACCGCCGCTGTCCTGCACTTGAGTGCCATCTCCTCCTGGGCCATCGGGCTCTGTCCGTGGGCCCCAGCTTCCCGAGATCAGCCTTGTCTGGGGGATTAGGTTGGAATTGGTGGGAAGAGAGCAGGTGACTTGCAGGCAAACATGGGGAATCGCCTGGTCATACCTTGAGGCCAAGAGGACTTAAAACATTTTCGTTCCAAAGCTTCGGAATCTTAGGCCTGAGGGCCCAGGCCAGCAGGAGAGGAGAGCAAAAGGCGGCCATCAGAGGAGGAGGCAGTCAGGCTGTCTCTGTGACATACTGCGATAACCCCCTCCAGTGAGGTTCAGCTCATCTTAAGACACCGTTACACTGTTCCCACTGGCACAGGGAGCCGGCCCCAGCTCCCTGCTGCTGACCTCACCCATGAGCTGTCACTCAGCTGTGGGGCAGGGACACCACAGGCCTTATTCCGGCGTGGCCGTGGTGCCACGCCGACCCCGTGTCTCCAACAAGGACAGCCTGTTTGGGGCTTTGTTTCTGCTGGGCAGCCCCACCCCCGCACCCCAGACTGCCTCCTCATTGTTCCCGGGACCCGGCAGAAAATGGCTCCCTTGTGCACTGGGGGGAGGACTGAAA